AGCATGAAACAATGTTATGAGATAGTAACCGACGCATGATTTGGAGTTGGGGGCGGTCGTCTTCGCCCTCAAGATTTGGCAACATTACCTCTATGGGGTCCATTGTACCATTTACACGGATCACAAGAGTCGGAGGTATCTCATGGATCAGCCAAATCTGAACATGAGGCAGCGTCGGTGGCTAGATGTGGTGAAGGATTATGACTGTGAGATCCTCTACCACCCGGGGAAGGCCAATGTTGTGGTCGATGCTCTTAGCCGCAAGGCAGCCCCGATCAGAGACATTTGCTTACGGATGACAGTAGTGACTCCACTGTTGGAGCAGATCTGAGAGGCCCAACAGGAAGCTATGAAGGAGGAACATCGGAAGAGCGAGTGTATTATGGGCCAGGTTTCCTCCTTCGACTATGATAGCCGAGGTTATTGACACTACACCACAGGGTGTGGGTTCCATATCGTGGGGGTGTGCCCCAGGTTCTGATGGAGGAGGCACACAAATCCTGATTTTCCATTCATCCTGGGGCGACGATACAGAGATCTTCGTCCTGATTACTGGTGGCCTGCATAAAGTGGGATGTAGGCCGGTACGTTGAGAGATGCCTTACCTGCAGGAAGGTCAAGACCGAGCACTAGAGGCCTCACGGAAAGACGCAGTCGTTGGATATCCCTATGTGGAAATGGGAAGATATTACTATGGATTTCATCACAAAGATTACCAGGACCGCACGAGGCGTGGATTCGATTTGGGTCATCGTGGATCGGTTGACCAAGAGTACTCATTTCATACCAATCCAGGAGAGCATCTCGGCCGAGAAGTTGGCCGATATCTACATCCGAGAGGTAGTAGCTCGACACGGAGTGCCAGTCTCTGTGATTTTAGACAGAGATGTACGGTTCACTTCCATATTTTGGAAGAAATTCCATGACGAGTTGGGTACTCGTCTGCACTTTAGCACCGCTTTTCACTCGCAGACGGATGGTCAGAGCGAGCGGACCATCCAGACCTTGGAGGATATGTTGCAGGTATGTGTTTTAGACTTCGGTGGTAGCTGGGATACCTACCTTCTATTGGCTGAGTTCTCCTACAACAACAACTACCACAGGAGTATCGATCGTCCTCCCTTTGAGATGTTGTACGGGAGGAAGTGCAGGACCCTGATATGTTGGAGTGAGGTTGGGCAGCGAGTCATGGGGAGTACCGAGGTGGTACTCAAGACGACGAAGAGGATCCAGCAGGTCCGGAGCAGGCTTTAGACTGCTCAGAGTTTGCATAAAAGTTATACCAACAAGCGTCGTTCGGACCTGGAATTCCAGGTCAGGGATATAGTCCTCCTGAAGGTGTCACCTTGGAAAGGTGTCATCCGATTCTGGAAGTGGGGCAAGTTGGGCCCCAGGTACATCGGTCCCTTTAGAGTTGCAGCCCGGGTGGGCAAGGTGGCATACAGGCTGGATCTGCCAGCCGAGCTTAGCCAGATTCACCATACTTTCCACGTCTCCCAGCTGTGGAAGTGCATGGTAGACGACTCTGCAGTGGTGCCTCTCGAGGACATTAAGGTGGATAACAGCTTGAACTACATCGAGCGACCGATAGCCATCCTAGATAGGACGATGAAGGCGCTAAGAAACAAGGAAGTAGAGTTAGTGAAGGTGCAGTGGCAGCACCACAAGGGTTTAGAATGGACGTGCGAGTCGGAAGATGAGATGAGGGAGTACTACCCCAAATTATTTCCAGCAGCAGCAACGGACTTCGAGGACGAAGTCTAACTCAAGTGGGGGAGATTTGTAACATCCGGGATTTACCATGTATTATTATTAATTATCTTATTGAATAATGGGTTGCTTTGGTTTGGACTAGGATAGTCGGGCCTCAAGAATTGGGCTGAGAAGGGCATTACGCGGGGCGTACCATGCCAGATACGCTCAGCGTACTCAAGAGAATTGGACGTGGAGGCCATGCACGTACGCCCAGTGTACCAAAGGGTATGCACAGCGTACGCGCGCAGATACTAAAACCCTAACTTTTAGGGTTTGATCCATATATAAAGGACCTTATGTCCTTGGACTAGCCTCCCTAACACCCTTAAGCAGCCACCTCGAAAACCCTAACCCATTATTGTGTATTCTTGCCATCTGAGAGCTTCTTTGTGTGATTTTGGTGTTCTTAGAAGAAAAAGAAGTTGGGGAAGAAGCAAGGATTCAAGAGGAGCTTGTAGATCCAGAAGATTAGCATCATTTCTAACTCTTTTGACGTATCAACTTCCAAACATGATCATTGCATGCTTAGATTTGTTTATAGGAGTGTTTAATGTCACTTTTGGACTCCATTGTTGAGGTTGCTTGCATCTTGTTAGTTTCATACCAAAAGAGCTGTCATTTTGAGCTCTTAGAGGCATTTAGAGTCATAAAAATCGGTCCTTGATGGTTAAGCCACAACCATGCAAGTGTTTGATGGACTTAAAGCTTGTTAAAAGGACCAAAATCATGTTTTGACCTCAACCATGCATGCAAGTGCATAAAGTTTGTGACTTTATGGATTAGGAGGTCTTAAAGGACCTGGATCTACATTCTGGACGTAAAGACTTAATGCATTAAGTCACAAATGAAGTCCCAAGAAAGCTGGCCAGTACGCTAAGCGTACACCCTGGTACGTTGTGCGTATTGGGTCAACTCCCCGTTTATGGTTAAGGCCAGCATACGTTGGGCGTACGTGCCAGGTATGTCGCGCGTGCGTATGCAGAGTGGATATATTGGGCTTTTGGGCCATAGATGGTTGGGCCTGGACTATTGGGCCCCGTGGCCCACTGTGGAGTATAGTTTTGGGCCTGGGAAGTTGGAATTAGAAGTACTGGGCCTTTTGGGCCATATTGGGCCATTCGAGATTATTCATTTTGGGCTAAGAACTTATTGGACTTGTGAAAAGGCCCATTTAAAGTGTTGGGCCCAAATTAGAAAATTGGGTCATTAGTGGGCCTTAGGGAGCCTTTGATGGATCATGAGTGCACTAGGTATAATAAGTTAGAATTGGGCTTAGGAATAGTTCAAGTTAGGCCAAAGGGGTAAAATGGTCATTTTACCCTAAGTGGTGTTATAGATTCTGATTGAGTGTTATTACGATTATGATAGCTGGGAGTCATCGGAGCAATTGTTAGAGATTACTTCCCATGAGATTCGACACTCAACTTTACGAGGTGAGTTACCTTCCAGTAGAAGTGGGTCTACGGCCACAATGTCGGCCCACTAGTAGGAGTTGTTGATTAGATGATTGTCTTTGTGATAATTATATAGGTTTGCTACTACCTGATATGTTATATGTGTTAGCATGATACTATGTTATGAGATAGTAGTAGTAGGGGGAATAGTTCCCGTGTCACGGTCGTAAGGACCGAAGGGTAGGTCGGGCACCCCAGAATCGTCTGGCAGTATGTATGTTGTATGGTATGTGGTATGATGGGGGAACTCACTAAGCTTCGTGCTTATAGTTTTCAGTTTTGTTTCAGGTACCTCTTCAGCGAAGGGGAAGGAGCCGACACGATAGCAGCGCACCGCACACAAATGATTTCCACATTTGAGATCCATGGGATTGTACTCTGACATTATTACTATTTTGATGATATGGTTTGAGACACGTGACTATGTTTTATGAAATGATATGAACCAATGATGTTTTTCAGTAAATTGTTTTACAAGTCTCTTAATTAAAAAATAAAATTTTTAGTCTAGAAAATTGGGATGTTACACTTTGCCGTTGCGAAGAAAGTTTGTTGTAGATGGAATTAAATTTTGTGCACTTCCGGCTAATTTGAGTCCATTCGTCACACGTGTCATTTTTGTTCAAAATTGTGCGGAATTTGAAAATCACGGCTTCCCCAAAAGCAACTCTCCTCATATCATTTCCCACAGTTGGTTGTTTTGAAGTCCCGCACCATGTCACCGCCAATGCATACTCTTCCTCCGGTGTCCACCATGTTGGAGGTTCTTCTGTTTGCTCCACCCCGACCACGACCTCTTTCCCTTTCTTTTTTGATTTCTCTTTTTTCCCGATGCTTTCCGAATACCCCCGGCTTGCGTCTCGATAACCGTTTCTTGCGTGGGTGGGGGTTGTGTGGTTGTTTGTCGCATAAAAGACGAGGTAGAGAATTGTAGTGGGGGTGAGGCGAGATTGAAAAAGTTGTCGGAATATGGAAGTTGTGGTGAGTTTCGCGAGTTGAGGAGGTTCATGTAGCCCTCGTATGCCGCAAAACCTATTGGAATGAATTTGTTTGTGTTTGGATGAGAAGTATTCGAGTTTGATCCATAGTTGGTTGATTTTTATGTTTGTGTTTTGAGTGATAAGAGAAATAGAGATAGATATATAGAGAAATAGATGTGTAGGTAAAAAGAATGAGTTATATATGTATTTATATAATGTAAAAAAATTTAATTATTAATTTTTTTATTGAAGTTACCGTTTTTAAACGGTTTCATTTTCCCAATTTCGAATATTGTTACCATTTTTAAACGGGTGAAATGTGCCAACGTTCGAATTTTTACACGTTACCAAAACAACGAGTGATAACGTAACGCCAAATAACGGGAGGGTGGGGCGGTGTTCATCCGTTATGGCGATGCCAAATCGGATTAACGTCATAGGGGGCGTTGCCCATACCCATCGGTCTAAGAATCAGAGGAGAGAACACAGAATAGATGTCTGGTTACTAGCTTTAAAAAAGAAAATAGTATCTATAATTATTTTACTATTTTTTTGTAAATATTTTTCAACCCACTATAGATTGGTAAATATATTTTCCAGGTACTATGATTTGGTAAAAGAAAAAAAAAAAAAAAAAAAAAAAAAAAAAAACAAGGAGTGTATAACACGCACAGGTCAAAAGAAGGAAACCAGAAACTTCGAATTTGTGGACCCAAATTTGATGGGAAAAAAACATATGCCAATAATCCATGCATATGACGAAACTGATTCCTCTGACCATCAACAAGTTGCCACCTGCTCTTCTTGCTGACGATTTCATTACTACAATAAGTACAATCAACACCCCCGTTGATGTTCGAAACAACAAATCTTTCAACGGTGGTTTCATATGTATATATGTACGTACATATATTTGATCTTTCATTTGCCTACATAAGATATGGGAAGACCACCTTGTGATGAGTCTGGTCTCAAAAAAGGTCCATGGACACCTGAAGAAGATGAAAAACTCGTTAACCACATCCAGAAACATGGTCATAGTAGCTGGAGAGCCCTTCCTAGACTTGCAGGTATGTACACTACATTTCCGTACTTTTCTAATTAATGTCATTTCAATATGTTTGGTGTTTTTCCAGGTCTCAATCGTTGTGGTAAGAGTTGTAGATTGCGGTGGACCAACTACTTGAGACCTGATATTAAGAGAGGGAAGTTCTCCCATGAAGAAGAGCAAACGATTCTTCATCTCCACTCAATGCTAGGGAATAAGTAAATACTAACATGCTCTTTTTCGAAATTTTAACAAATTAATAGTAGTACTGCTCTTGATTGTTGAACAAGTGTGATTGTGTTCTAATTACTTGTATGTATGTACCTATATATAGGTGGTCGGCTATTGCTACTCGCTTATCAGGAAGAACAGATAACGAGATTAAGAACTATTGGAACACACATTTGAAAAAAAAGTTGATTCAGATGGGTATTGACCCAATGACGCATCGTCCATGCACAGATATCTTTGCAAGCCTCCCTCAGCTCATGGCCTTGGCCAATCTGAAGGAACTTGTCGAACACCATTCCTCCATCTCTTGGCCTTCGAATTCATCTTCCTTGGAACAACAACTCTCCATGATTTCCAAATTACAAACCGAACAAGCTGTTCATCAAATTGCCAAGATTCAGTACTTGAACAATCTCCTTCAATGCACCCCACCACTTTCCCTGCAAACTGGCCTTATAAATCATCCACCCAACATGGAAGATCTAAACTACCTCGGTGTTTATAATGGGTCGTCTATTTCTAATGGAATCTCACATTTCGATGATGACATTAATCTACCATTCTCTCACTTGCCGAACTTGCAGCCACCAGAAAATATTGTTCACTCTTGTTCCGACGATGCGTGGGTAGCAAGCCGTTGTTCTTCACCTGCGGCTGTAGTTGTCCCTGTGGCTCCACCTGTCACCTCCATGACCAATAGTACTAGTGATGATGCATGTAGTTCTCCTACTACATCCCGTTGTGGAAAAGCTCCACCACAGTTTTGGCCTGACCTCCTCCTTGAAGACCCTTTATTTCATGATATACTTTAAGAATATTTATTTAGAGAGAATGTATATATATTTAATTCGGTGTGTACCATGCATGCATCTGTGTATGTTTATCATTTCCTGATTGGGTGGCTTGTAATTTAGAGCTTCATACTAATTTTCCTTGAATGTATTTTCATATGGCGCCGATCATATATTCAAGGAAAAGGGCTCATTTTCAGGTGTCGGCATTACCTTCCTTTGCTTCGTATACATTCTGGTTTGCCTCTCGATGGTGGGTGTGGGACCCGTTGTTGGAGATGCCCAAGGGTGACTCATAATCCCCTTTTTTTTACAGTTAGTTTTTGTCAGGATCGAAGATGTGTTAATTAATTAGGTGTATTCTATGTAGTCTGTGAGACGCCTCATGGGGCTGCTTCTTGTGTATATATATATATAAGCTATCGTATGAATGAAATCAGTATACTTGCTACTACTTTGATGAATATTTTTGGTTCCAGCTGTTTTTTGTATTGGATAATTTTAAGTTTTCACTCAACTTGGGTAATTACTTGGATTCGTAGTTTTCTTCTTTAATTCAATATAAATCTTGAAGAAATGAAGAGTATGATGCGGAACAAAATGAACATCGTTTAAGTCACGTGATAGTGGAAAAGTGAGAAACAGATGAAGAAATACATCAATTTCAAACGATATATGGTAACTTTAAGTCCGCATGGACTCACCAAGTCAAGGTGTATTTATATGTGAAACAACTATGAAAAAAAAAACCCTGAAATTAATGGAAAAAATATTAGAATCATAGGGGAGGATGAAGACAGGATACGTACTGCCAGCAGAATCACAAACCAACAACTTCCAAAGATTTTTTGTTTCTCTAATATATTAGTTGCGTGTTCGAGTATGTTTTATAGGTAATAATGATAATTATTGTTAATCATTAATATCATACAAAAGAAAGAAAACCAATTAAAACATTATGATGTAAAAGAAGAGAGTTGACTAAAAACATTAATGTCAAAGGACTGATGAGAGACGGGACGGAGGGACCCAAGTAGTTAGGAAACATAAGGTTTAAGAATTCAGAAATTTCCTAACTTGCCAACAACTACAAAAGGCAATAGCAATTGATAGCTACCACTTCTCCTAACCCCTACCCCAATTTATAGGTTTTCAATACTATCACTGTCCCAAAATGATTGACAATGTATAAACCAACTAAAACAGGTGTCTTCTAAGATTGGTGGGCATATCTTACCACATTTTTAATTTGTAAGATTGTGGGCATATCTTACCACATTTTTAATTTGTAACTATCATTTTTATTTTTTGTAAAATTGGTGGGTCTCATATTACATTTTACCACATTTACCGTAATACATATTTTTATGCATAAAATACCACATTTTAAGGGTATACCGTGGGGTGAAACCATAGCGTGTGGCATGCTTACCATGATGGAACATGGCGGGTCAGTGTGGTGCTTACCACACACTCCAGTGCCACATCACATACTGCGGTGTGCGGTATAAGATGCACTGAGGGGTCTAACACATGACTCTAATTATAACTATAATTAGGGGTGTTCAAAAAAAAGTCAAATCTAAAAATCTAAAAAGTCGAAGTGAAATTATCCGAAATTTCAGATATCTAAAATTTTGGATATTCGAATTTTTGGATATTGGCAACTCGGATAATCCGATTTTTTCGTATTTAGATTTGGATAGTCGTTCCATAAATTTTCGAATATCCGTATCAAAAAATATGTATTTTTTTATTTTTTTAAAATATGTTTTTTTATTTTAAAATTAATGTGACACTACTACAAAAAAGAGCATTACCGAAGGCCAAAACCGTCAGTAATCCGTCGCTAATAGGCATTACCGACGGAATTGCAATAGACCAAAATATATCGGTATATTCATGTCGCTAATTGTTTGCAACAGATTTCCGATGACTGCGACAAATTTTAACGACGAATTTTTCCGTCGGTAATTAGTAATCGATCACCGACGAAATTTTTTTTTCAACGAATTACCGACAGAATGTGTTCGCAACAGATTACCGACATAATAACTCACTAACGGATTACCGACGAAATCTAAAAATAACTCACTAACGGATTACCAACAAATTTTCTATGACATATACGGATTTTGGCATTATAAAAAAAATAATTCATGAAAACATTAAAAATAATTACATATTCAACACAAATAAAAATCTTAAAATGTAACACCCCGAGATTTTGCAGGTATTTCTAAATCCCCTCCTCTATCATTATTGTCATTTGTAGTCCTTGAGGTTGGAAGTGTAGAGCCAAGATAAGTCTAAGGGCCAAGGTTGCAACCTTAGATCAGGAAGGAGTACGCTGAGCGTACATAAGGGTACGTTGGGCGTACTTATGTCAGGAGAAAACCCTAATATTTAGGGTTGGGGGCTATATAAATATCTTTATGGCTCATTTCCTCTCATCATTCTTAGCCTCCATATCCCAGAAAACGTCCCAAACCCTAGTTTTGTGTGTGAGTGTGAGTTGGTGTGTGTTTTGAGCTCTTGAAGGTGAAGGCATTGCATCAAATAGTTGGAGAAGGAAGGCAAGCTTGTAGATCTAAAGTTTCCTTGTGCTATAGAAGCTCCAGAAGATAAAAAACTTCAAACTTTATGCTTGTATGAGATAGATCTAGCCATTCTAGCTTTATGGAATCATTTCTTGTCCCAAAAGTCCCCAAGTTGGTGCATGTTATGGTTTAGACGAAATAAGTTGTCCTTTCAGACCCTAGAAGAGGTTCTAAGTGATAAAAATGATGTCCCAATAACTAAATGTGTCTCATGCATGGAGTAAAAAAGGTCTTAATGGATTAAGACCATGTGTTAAGAACTTTATGGACGTCCAAAGTGATAAAGTTCAAGACTTTATGGTTCTAAGGCACTTTTGGTCGATGGATCTGAAATATGGGCTTAAGTACTTAAGCCATTAATTACTTATTAGGGTTTTGGCAAAACCCCGCGTACGCCCCGCGTAAATTCTGTACGCCCAGCGTACTGGATCAACCACCCCGATGGTGGTCAACGTCAGGCCGAGTACGCCCAACGTACTAGAGGAGTACGCCCCGCGTACGTCCTCTGTTGGGCTTTTGACAAATTGGGCTTCGGGATTAGGCAACTTTTGGACTAATTGGACTTGGGCCTTGTTGGGCCCTCTGAATAATTGAAGTTGGGCCAGTTTTGATAAGGGATCCTATGATAAGGCCTAATTAGGAAGTTAGGCCCAAATTGGGAAATTTGGGCCATTAATGTGCCTTGGATATATGGGCTTTTAAGATCATGGATTTGGCAATTGGGCCTTGGCCCAATAAAGTGGAAGGACAAAATGGATTATGTGGACCCTTAGTCAAGATTGATATTCCATATTGTTTATTATTTGGATAGTTCGGGATTTTGGTGAGCCATTGATTCGGAGTTTGATTCTTCAGTTCAGAGCGACGTGGCGAAGTGAGTTATCCTCACTATACAAAGGGGTCTAAGGCACCAAGGCCGGCGCATTGGATTTGATATCCCAGTAGTTGATTACGTGTTGAGTATGAGATGATTATGTATGCTAGTTTGCTATGCCAGTTAGGTAGATCTGTAGGACTACCTGTGTTACTGTTTGATTATCTGTATGTGCTATCAGTTGTATATGTAGACATGTTGTGTGGGTAGGGTTGAGGTTGCATTGTCTCGTACAGTGACCAACAAACCCTGGAGTATGCTAGATATGAGTTGAGGGCCGGGAAGGCATACCAGACTCATACTGAGGACTCATTAGCATACCAGATACGAGATGAGGACCAAGTGGTATGCCAGACTCGTACTGAGGGAAAATCAGTTATGTTTCAGTTGTAGGACAGAAGGGGGCAAGCCAGTCATAAGTTGTGGGCTCGAAAGCAAACCAGACTTATGTTGTGGGCTCGGAGGCAAGCCAGATGTGAGCTGTGGTCCTGGAAGGCAAGCCAGACTCACACTGTGGTCCCATGGGTTATCCAGATTGTAGAGTTGTGGACCCATTACATGTTGTTATTATGTGTACTGATTGTTATGTATCGGTATATTGGGGGAACTCACTAAGCTTCGGGCTTACAGTTTTAGTTTTGGTTTCAGGTACCTCAGAAGATCGCAGGAAGGCAAAGACGTGATCGTACATCTCCTCGCATTTTATGACTATGTTTCTGGGATACTCTGATATAGAACAATTTTGAAAACAAAATTGTAATAACTGTTGGTTTCTAAATGTTTTAAAAAGTTTAAATTTGGCTTGATTTTTATGGATGTTACAAGTTGGTATCAGAGCCTTGGTTTGAGTGAATTGGAGGAACACTCGTGTGAATCCAGTCTCAAACTAAGGAAAATATTTTCAAAATGATTTAAAAAAAATGGTTTTCAAAATAAAGAAAAAGAGGATGCAGAGGGTACGATCAGCCGGAGCCAAAATGTAGACCCCAAAATACCATGCAGTTATTTGATTATGAGATATGATAGAACAACAAGCTAGTACTAGGCTAGGGATCTTCAGAAAATGCATGATAGAATTGCCTGATTGTACGATGCCTGATAGCCTAGGGTTTTCCTTATATGAAATTGACATCATTACTGTAGTTGCTTAGTTTATGCACCATGGTCATACATAATTAAGATCTTATAGCCTGAGAATGTTTGGTTTGGCCTTATTTCCTGTTCTTGTTTGATGAAGGGCTTAGGGTAGGATCAGGCATTCTAAAGTCTATAGGGTCCAACGTTATGTATGACTAGCATACACTAGTGTTGTAGGGTTGGTGGAAGTTTCATGGATGATTGAGTTGTGCGAGGTCAGTAGACCAATTATGAGATATCTAGCTTTCCTGTGGGAGTGAGGATTGAGCGATCACCATGCATATGTACGTTGTTAGGGCATTGTGATGATACTTGAGACAAATATGGGTAGGTGTGGAAGGTAGTATGGGCCCATACTACTGAAAGCATAGGACCCATACGCGTAGCAAGGAAGTCACAACCCCTATGGTTTAGTTGGGAGTTGATTCCCTGATATTTATGCGGATTATCTGATATCTTCCTGGTGTATTTTCAGTATGGTGGTTACGAGGCGTTTTGTGACTGGATCCGGATCGGGATCAGGGTAAGGCGATCAGGGTACTCCGACAGAGCCCGAGATTATCAGCCAGGGTGGGCCAGCAGTGACAGAGGATCGTGTAAGGGAGATCATCCGCGAGGAGGTGATCGGGATGGTCCGGGGTCAGATTCCGGAGATGTTCGGGTCTATTAAGACCGCTATGATGGAGTATTTTGACGACAGATATGCAGCCTTAGCTGAGACGTCTGCCGCAGCAGCTACAATGCCTATAACAACGGAAGGGGGAGGAGCTGGCAGAGCTTTTCAGTAC